CCCTCCAGTCTGGCACTGTCCAGCCCAGGAGCCACTAGCCCCATGTGGCCACTGAGCAGTTGAAACACAGCCAGTACACATAGGTTAAATAAAATATATTACTGAAGTTAATTTCTCTTTTCCTTTTAGCTTTTTAAATTTGACTACTAGAACTAGAAAAATTATGTATGTGGCTTACTTTATATTTCTGTTGGACAGTGCTGGGCCAGACCCACAGAACCTGAAGTTGTAAGGATGAAAAATTTCCCTAAGAAAAGCCACTGATGCTGGTGGTAAATGGATCACGTTTGCTTTCATCCCTTGATTCCCACACCCGATATTCTACTTATTGGGGCCACAGCATCTTTTAATGGTCTTCAGTTTATCCTGGGGAATGAGGCCCCATTTTCCCAAGGGATCACCTTCAAGCTGGTTTCATAGCTAGACCTTCAGACCGTGACCCTGTCACTCTACCAAGCCAGCAGCCCTCGTAGGTGACAGACATGGTGGGTCCCATCCCCATATGCCCGTAGCCAACCTCCTTTACTGTCAAATGTATCCCTTGATCAAAGGCAATGTTATGTGGGATCCTATCCAGGGGATCACGCACTTGTAAGCCCCCAGGCAGTGATGCTGATGGTGGCCTTACAGTTAGGAATACGAGTCAGTTCCAGTCCAGATGAACTACTGCCCCTTTCAGAGTAGGAAGGTCCAATGCCATCAGTCTGCCACCAAGTGGGTAGCTGGTTTTCTGCAAGGGATGTTAAAATATGAGAGTTCAGCATTTGTCTCTGTTGCTGGCAAGTTGAACGTTTGGCAGCATTGGTAGCTGGGTCAGCCATGGTCCCATGCTGTCGGGTCCATACCCAGCCTCCATCCCTGCCACCTCCCTACTCCACTCGTGAGCTCATTGTGCCAGGGCTGGGGTGGAGGATGGCAGAGACTCGCTGATACCAACTGGCTACGTCGTTCTGTTTTCTTGGCTGTTTAGTGCTGCTTTCATCCTGGTTGCTTATTGCTGGGCTTTAAGATACAATACAAAGATCTTCACGCTTCAAATACATATATATGTTCAGATTGTCTGTTTCTCCTTGTGTGATTTTTAGCAAATTTTGTCTTTCAAGGAATTGGTCCATTTCATCATTGTTATCAAGTTTGTGGCATAAAGTTATTAGCATTCTTTTATTCCCCTTTTTCTAACCATGCTATTAGTAGTGACATTCTTGTTTTCATTTCTGATGCTAGTAATCTGTGTCTCCTCTGTGTTTTTCCTAGTCTAGCTGGAGCCTTATTTGTATTATTGATCTTTTCAAAGAGCCAGGTTTTGGTTCCATTGATTTTTCTCTGTTGATTTGCTGAATCCAATTTCTTACATTTCTGCTCTAATTTCTGTTGTTTCTTTTCTTCTGCTTAATTTGGATTTTATTTGCTCTTCTTTAGTTTCCTAAGGTGGAAGCTCAGATGATTGATGTAGACAATCCTTCTCCTTTTCTAATATACACATTCAATGCTCTGCTTTTCCCTTGAAGCACTGCTTTTACTGCATCCCCCAGATTTTGGCAAAGTTGTGTTTTTATTTTTATTTTGTTCTAAATATTATAAGATGTCTTCTTTGACCCATGTGTTATTAGAAGCATGTTGTTAAATCTCTGTCTGTTTTGAGATTTTTCCAACCACCTTTCCATTATTGATTTTTAGTTTAATTGCATTGTGATCTGACAGCAGATTATAATTTCTATTCTTTTACTAGAATATTAAAGCAGTAATTTTGTTGGCTGCCCATCTGTTTAACCTATTCATGGTTAATGTTCTATCAACCACATTTACAGCTCTCTGAGGATCAGATCCTCCCAGCTGCCACTCTGACCTTATTACTCATTTCAATGCTAGCATCTTCCTTACTTCTGATAGCTAAGCACCTCCACCTCGTTTCTTTGATTTTAGGATTTTACCCCCATGGCTATTAGAAAACTCAATTTGATAATAGTCAACTGTGACCTACAGAAGGAAGTGTATTAGAAAGCTTGGAGCTGGTGTGTTAAGAATATGCCGATTATGACCTGCTGAAGGAGAAGGCACAGGCCACCTGCCCAGGGTCAGCAGGCAGTTCCCTAGACATCCAGGCTCCCACTTTGGGGAACTGAAAACCCCAAAGCCATTGTGACTGAAGGCACAGTTTCGATACACTCACACAAAGGAAGTAAACGTTATTACTTACAAGTCCCCAAACAAAGTCGCAGTGAGCCAGGGAAGGGCCGTCCTCCATCCCAGGTCACGCGGGGGCAGGAGACAGTGAGCAGGGTAGTGACCACCTATTACCTGGAGGAGGTCGAGGCAGCAGTCACTAATTTTTTGCTGCCTCAAACTTTGAGTGGCCATCTTAAAATGTTCCTCGAGAAAAGCAAGGTGGGAGCTTGGGGTGGGAAACCTAAGCTCAGGTCCTTATTTAAATGTCCCGACTCTGGGTGTGAGCAGAGTTGTTATACCACGCAGTGCCTAGGCAGCAACTCAGAATGACTGTTTTCTCATCACGATTGACCCTGTGATGCCCTGGCGTTAGTCTTTAGGGAAAATCATGGGCACTGTCTGAATGATGGAGCTGTTAAAAGCCACTGGCAGGGTTTTGGTCACCCAATACCTGAAACATTTGAGCAAAAAACAAAAACTGCCAATCAACGATATCAATAGACAGATTATTTGTGACCCTGTCCATAACCATCCCCCCATTTTTGGGGGTCCATCCAAGAAAATAAATCAAAATCCCTGGATAAGATTAAGGCAGGTATTTCATTAAAAACTTGGATGGGCTACAGAATATCTGTGCCTGTTGGGCCATCTTTTGTTTGTCTGAATCTGTGCAGAACTATTAACATACATGCAGCAGGTGGTGTCCTTTGCAGTGCCTGTACCTCCTTCCTTGGCCAGGAAGTGACCTACAGTTGAAGGGTTATCCAAAACCATCTGCGCCAAAGAATCATGTCGTTGTTGCGTTAAGGCTGGGCGTTGGCGTAGCAGCCCATCCTGCTCAGACAGGGTGGCGGCAGGTTGTGTTTGCCTTAAGGACCTCTTGTGGTGCTGCCTAACCCAGTTCTTTCTTGAGGGGTGGTAGCAGACCTACTCCCAACTTAATCAGGATGGATACCACATGCTTTTGTTGGGAGGGGGCAGAAGGTTTGATGGGTGTGTCCGGTGACCTGTGAGGGCAGTCCCGGGGAGACTGAACTGCATTGGTGTGAGCAGACAGGACAGACTCCTGGCGGCCAGCGAGGAGGCGAACGCGTGGGAGGTTGCGGGAAGGAGAAACGCATATGTGCAGAACCACGAGTGCGTGACGGCCTCGGGGCACAGACCCACAGCGCACACCGACCGTTTGATCCGGAAAGACAAAGTCAGCTGGGGTTCTCCCGGGCAGCGGGACCCGTGGGCACTGCGCTCCTTGGGACAAGGTGTGGGTTATAATCATCCACCTGGTGTCAGTGTCTGGGCAGATATGGAGGGCGCACAGGGGCTCCTGCCAGGCGTCACATGCTCTGTTGTAAAGCGTCCTGCATGAGAGCAACTGAGCACCGCAAAGATCAGCCAGGCGAGCTGCAGGGTAGTGCGGGGTGCCTGCTGTTGGATAAACGGGGACAGGGTCAGCCAACCAGCCAGGTAGGCCACGAACTCAGGCAGAAGCCTTTGTTGAACCTGGTAACACGCTCAGCAATTACCATGGGCCAGAAATGAGACCTGGTGTCTGCTCATTACAGTAAAATATTAAGATTATTAGAGGGTCTGAAAGGGAGGATTGTGGGGCCCTGAGTGGTGCCGATGGGAGAAGGTCCCCTTTAGGGTGGCGTTGGTGAAGGAAGGTGACCCTGTGGTTGTGGTCCTGGAGGGTAGTTGAGGTGTGGTGGGGGCAGCATCCACAGCCAGGGAGGGGGTCCTCCCAACAGAAGTTAAACCCCCAGTGGGGCCAGTTTAACGGGTATGATGAGGGCAAGCAACCAGGTGTCTAAAGGGGCCCCCGTAAGGCCATGAGACTTGACGCATACCGCGGCCTTCCGAAGCGCAAAGGCCCTCCAAAGGCAGAGCGCAGCCTGGCGGCCAGAGCACCGCCTCACACTCGAGCAGCAAGCGTTGTAGTAAGCAAGGGGGCTCTGGGGGTAATCACACAGTTAACTCTGCAAAATGCCACTCAAGGGGGTTGTCAGTAGCAAGT